GGCTTTGGGCAACCTGGTGTAGTGGAGGGTGTCCCTGCCCGTGGCAGGGGGGCTGGAACTGGCTGATCTTTGAGGTTCCTTCCAACCCAAATCATTCTATGATTGTATCAGAATTTATTAGTTCATAAATGTTTGAAAAACATACATGAAGTGCTTGGTCGCTTCAACTGGCTTTCTTCCACAGTCTTGCACAATTTTGGTTTTGTGCAACTTTTTAAGAAAACGTTTGGGTGTTTTTCCCCTTCTAGCTTTTTTTCATGGTTATTCTGGACTAAAGTGTGATTTCTTCATCATCACTCAAACATCTCTCCTTAACAATCCAGCATGGCCTCGCAGAAAAGAGATTTCAGCATGTGTGTGAGGGAGCAGGCTGGCAATGGCTTACAGCAGAGTGTGTGAAACACGACAAGTTAAGGAATTTTTAGTGGATATATAAAGGCATTTAAAACTCCTGCATGGTGTAGCTGACAGCACAATCTCTTTGCTTTTTTCTTCACAGAGATTGCCCTAGTGACCAGCAAGCCTGAGAAAGTTGCTCCTTCACGTCAGGATATATTTCAAGGTATGAGAGAAGATCAGTAGAAGCGTGTTGTGCTTTAGGCCGGCCGGCAACTAAACTCCACACAGCTGGTCGCTCACCCTTCCCACCCCCTGGGGATGGGGAAGAGAATTAAAGGAGAAAAGGGAAGGAGACCTGTGAGTTGATAAGAACAATTGACTACTACTACTACTACTATATGAATATATACATATATGTGCACTGATAGTAATATACACAAACAAGTGATGCACAGTATAATTGCTCACCACCCCTTGACCAAGGCCCGTCTCGTCCCAAACTAGCGATCCCGAAACAGATAAGTCCCGACACCGCAATCCCGGATGAGCAAGAGGCCTGAAAATAGAGAGCGAGACAGAGAGCGCTCCGAGAGGGAGAGCCCTGGAAGAGCAAAGGCCCTTCTTTCCAGCTGACCCTCATTTTATACTGGGCATGACGCTGCATGATATGGAATACTAATTGGCCAGTTTGGCCTCAATCCTAAGTCTAAGCACAATTCATAGAGAGTCGTGGACCCTCTGTCCCAGCCATGCTCCCCCCTATCCTGTTGTGCTCCTGCACGCTGGCAAGAACACGGCAGCTGGAAAGTCCTTGAGACCTCAGTGCCAACTACAAACATCAGTGTGCTGATAGCATTCTTCTCAGAGCGAGCCTCTGAGTAAAACCAAAACATGGAGCTCTTCTGGCTGCTAAAAAGAAGAGCTGACTCCATCCCAGCTGAAACCAGGACAAAGCACTTCAGTAGAAGATCAGTAGAAGCGCTCTCAACACTTTTAGCACTGGAGACGAGCACTCAAAGTGTTGGGAGGATTGCCACAGGTCAGACAGGAGCAAGGAAGAAATTTTTCACTGTGAGGGTGGTGAGGCACTGGCACAGGTTGCCCAGAGAAGCTGTGGCTGCCCCATCCCTGGCAGTGTTCAAGGCCAGGTTGGATGAGGCTTTGGGCAACCTGGTGTAGTGGAGGGTGTCCCTGCCCATGGCAGGGGGGTTGGAACTGGATGATCTTTGAGGTCCCTTCCAACCCAAACCATTCTATGATTCTAAGGAACGAGCCTGTCACTAAGTGTCTGACATCATCTTTTCCTTTTGTGCAGAACAACTGGCAGCCATTCCAGAGTTTAAGAGCTTGGGTCCCTTATTCAAGTCTTCGGAACCAGTGCAGCTCACAGAGGCAGAAACAGAGTATTTTGTTCGTTGTATTAAACACGTGTTCACGAATCACATCGTTTTCCAGGTAAGAGAGGTTCCCCACTTCTGCCAGGGTGCAGTAGGAGTTGGCCCTTAACGATGCCCGGTGTAGCAGGAACAGTGTTGTTGCTGTGCCCTGGAGAGAGCAGCTTCTCTCTTAAGGGAGCTGCAGTGTGGAGTTAAGAGGGTGTGTGCTGCTCGCCTCAATGGTCGGAAAGGGATAGGGGTTATGATCCCATCTGTTAAAGAATTACAGGAAAATTGGAGATGTTTAGTGAGAACATCCTGATCAGAGACGTGGGATGTCTGCTCTGTGCTGTGGAGTATTGTAGCTGGTTTGGGGGAAAAATTCTTGATTGGAAATGTTTCTTCAAGTCCTTTTGGGTTTGTTCTTCTGCAGTTTGATTGCACGAACACGTTAAATGACCAGCTGTTAGAGAGAGTCACTGTGCAGATGGAGCCGTCGGACGCTTACGACGTGATCTGTTGCATCCCGGCGCCCAGCTTGGCTTACAACCAGCCGGGCATGTGTTACACCCTTGCCCAGATTCCTCAGGATGACCCCACTGCAGGTACCCGCTGGGAGGGAGTAGTTGTGCACAACAGATGCCTCAGATGAAATTTTTGGAGAACAGATAATAAAACATTTGGGGTGTGGGATTTGGTGAGTGCGTGCTGAGATTCTAGTACTGTTTCTCGTGTGTCACACGTGCTGGTTTTTATGTAGAGCCTGTGTTTGTAAAAAAATAGGATACTTTTTAACTAGTGAGGGGTATTGGATAATTAAAAATGGGATGTTTAGGAGGACTGGAGAGGGTGCAGGTAATGCAGGAAAATGAATTTATTATCTTGAGTCAATGAAAGGAGCACCTTTGAGAACGTGGATGTTTGGTAGTAGTCAGGGACAGAATTGGTAAAAGGAAAATATGAGTTGGGGAGAGGAAAAAAAGAAGATAGGTAGTTTGGGCCTCTACATATCTGGCTAATGCAATTTTCCCTCTCTTTGGAGAATTAGAAATGACTATGAAATTTAGGAATGAGAGATTTTCTTGGGCATAAAACTTCCCTTTCTTCTTTTTCTCATTCACACTTCAAAGAAACTCCTTTGGGTTTGCAGTTGATTTTACACGACTCAGCTCATCAGCAGGGTGGATTTCTTGGTTATCGTTTTAATACCAGAGAAGATTAGAACTAGTCTGAATTCCTGGAAGTGTGGTTTTGGATTATAATCCACTTGTCCGAAACCCTTGCAGAGTTTCTCCTGGTAGCCAATGCTGACTGGGTTGTGCTGCAGCACTCTGCAAGTCAGTGGTCCTGGCGTACTCCTCCTCCTCAATCCTCTTTGGCCTTCATCTTAGAGTCTGCAGGGAAAATTCTCTGACCACGACCATGTGCCTCTAAACTAGAGAGGCATGGGTTTGATGG